GGAAAATGATTTCTTTTGAGTAAAATCTTTGGCCCGTGCGGCCGGGGTCTAAATCCTGCAAACTTGATATCTCAATTAAAAATTAAATAAGTTTATGTTCATAACAACCTTTGGTTAGTGTTTTTGAAAGTTTACTGTAGCTATTTTAAAAATAAAAAAATGGCCTGTACACCCCAAAAATATGTTATAAAAATATTTATATATTTTTTTCATTGCGGTACCAAGTGAGTACAATCATAATCAAGAGGTTTTGATTGGGATTGTGGTGTGTCTTTGGAGGTTTTCAGTGAATTTCCAGGTATTTTTCACAGAAAAATTAATGTTTTACCCCAAAAATAGGTAGTTAAGAAAATTAAACTTAATATTTCATTGAGATAACAAGTAAGTCTTTAACTACATGATGCAATCATAATCAAGAGGTTTTGATGGTGTTTGCGGTGTGTTTTGGAGGTTTTCCTGGGTTTGTGGGGTGTAGCAATACCCTCTTGATGCGCTTGCTTAAGAGCTGATGAATATATGGCAAAAATGGTGTCTAATTGTAAGAGTAATTTATAAGTGAAATTGATAAGCTTTTAGTCTAGATTTCAATTGACTGATGGATGAAGTATGACATAATGGTCAGTTGTTCCAAAGTACTGGTGCGGCAATAGAGAATGCTCTATCACCTACTGTATAGGCATGATGATTTCATATTTCAATGCAGGGGAAAAATTGTTGGCAAGGCATAGAAAATGGATGTGCGAGGGGATGAGAAACTAGTAGTTTTTTTCAATTGGCCTTAGTGGTCTTTCAGTCCCACTACCTTGGCATTGTTTCAGGTAGAACGCATGAGTGCATTGTGCTATCGTCATATCTAAATTGATGTTTTGATTTAAGTTAAGTTAATTCTGAGGTGTGCACACAAACTGTTTATGGTGAAAATTCATATTCATTCATAATTCACTTTTATTGCAGTTAGGTAACAGATTGGATAATACAAAATAGAAATGGAATAAAAAAAAACACAAAATACCAACAAGCAAAGCTAAATTCAAAAAGTGGAAAAATTGGGAAAAACGGCAAATTTAATTATTTAATTACAAAAATTTACCAAAAGAAAAAAATTAAATATAAAAAATCTAAGTCACAAAATAAATCGGTTATTTTTAAAATTTACAACATTTACAATTATTATTTACAAAAAATATAATTTGGTATCAATTAATATATTATTTACAATAAATATTTAAAAATCCTTATCACAAATAGTTGTAATTTAAAGTTTGACAATGAAACTCTTTAAATTATCTATTAATTAGGGCACTGACAATCAAGCTTGTTCTCTTTAAATTAAAAAAAAAATGTTGATTTTATAGTCTTTTAACAAATTTATTAGGTACAATAGTGTATCTTTAAAATACAGGTGTACAGCATTCTTAACAGTAAATAAAATGTAAAATAACAAGTACAGTACTGTATTACATAAATCTATTGTGTATATATCCTAATAGTTTGTACATTTTATATACATTTTTAAAAGAATAAATATACCTCCCCATCCCTTAGCCAAAAAAAAAAATACAAAAATTTAAACAAAACCAAACATAATCCTGCCTTATTAATAATATCATACATTTTCTGAATTTTTTTTTTTTAAACATTTTAACAATTTATATTAGAGTAAAACTGCACTGCGGTGAAGCTATTCTTTCACTGCCTAGTGTAAAAGGAGTTGCAGTATTATAGTATCAGTTCACGAATCATGGTTCTAAAATATGTACACAGTAGTTTTATATCTAATTGATTTAATATGGCAGATTTTAATTTTTGAGAGGTGAAATAACTATACCTTGTCTTATAAGTCTGACTGTATACCTGTCATAATATATTATCATTTGATAAAATTGATTTAACCAAAGAAGTTCTGGATGAATTAATTTAGGGCAGGTTGTTATCGTGGAGATCTATCGCATCCTGTATATCCCTTGACCTATCAAATAAACATCCTTCAATTCCACCAAACTCTTATCAGCTAAAAACCCATCTGCCACAGCCATAGACTTGATGTCTTGTTTGTCAGACAGATTTGATTGGGATCAAATGAAACTGTTTATCTCTGAAAACCATAATCAAAAGAAGCCAAATTATCTTGTCTTTGTTTATAGCATCTTGAGTTTTCATGGTCTTATGACCGATGGGGATGGTATGACCAGACTTAAAAAGATTTTGTTAAGAAGAATTGACTTGTGAATTACCGAAATAGGTGTTGAAGGTACAGTAAATAAACAGTTCAGTAAAGTTATTACTATCTAAATAAGATATTTAGTGATAAATAATGTAATGGTTAAACTCATGTATTTATCATGTATTTAGTTTTTGAAAGCATAATGATCTGATTTTGTTTCTCCTTTGCTTGCTGATAAAAGAAACTTACTTTTAATGCATTGAAAGAAACCATGCAAAAGTTTTTTGAATACTGTACATATTTTGTAATTCCGTTATCATTGCTTTTTGTGTTTTGGATGAATCCCTATACTTTCTTTTGTTCTTTTATACAAAAACCATGCGTACAATACAGTTAGCAGCTTTGTTGAGGCTAGATAGAGGGATATGTCTTGGGATCGGACTAACAGTAGTGTCTTGTATTTTGTATTTCAACCATAATGACGGGGATGGGGTGGGTGTTCGATTCCCACTCTGGCCACATGCTTGAATCCGTGGGCATGGTACTTTGTCCCAGTATGCTGATTACTAGCGTCAATGGAATACTGTACTCTCTTCCCAAGTACAGGGAGTGTCATTCCATAGGCATTTGTTCTACTATACGGAAGTAAAGAGTTGATACTGTTGTATCATATTGTATTGTAAACATACAGTGGTCCAAGACAAGAGGCAATAGGAATGTGTTATATGATTTAATTTTAGCTTTCTTTATTTAGTCAATACTTTCCAAGGAAGTCCTGTTAATTATTTAGGTAAACGATAATAAATACATATATTTCACAATTATTTATATTATGGTAGTAAGGTATATGTAACGGTAACAAAATTTATGATAATGACAACATGATTAAAGTTAAGCTGTAGAACAGTTTTAATCGTTAATAAACCAAACACAATCATTGTTACTTACTGTCTCTTTGATAACATCAATGAAAGCTCACAGTACGTAACATACTGTGTTTGGTTTATTACCGATTAACACGCCATAAGCAACCAGATGAAACTCTCTGTATATTTACAATAATGGTAAAGCTTACCGTACTACTGTACTGTGCCTGTATGTACAGTGTTAAAAGTTAAAAATGGGTGTCAAAATAGCCTAGGCTGTCATTAAAGAAATAGGTCACCTTTACAAATTGAAATGTGAGGACATTCTCTCAAGACATACAATATTGATATTGTTATTAAATATAGACAAAGTAATAAGTAGAAGCAATAAAGGATGTTTCAAATACACAGTATATTTTTTTAATCAGTTCTGATCAAATATCAAATTATGAGGACCGCTTTGCAAATATATTCTGACAGCAACAGGAAACAGTTGTTGATGGGGGGTTATTAATTGTCACCATAACCTCATTATTACCCAGAACAAAGTTCAAAATGGTGGGAGTTATAATTGACCGTCTTGCAAATGTTTTATCCTACATCCTACAAGTTTACATGTGATAGTTTAAAATTCCAAATTAATGCCTTCACGCTCTCTGCTCTTGTGTTTTAGCGCAGCATACTTTATGGCAGTCTGATTGCCATCATATAGGCATTTAGGATACTGTAACGCTTGCGAACGTTACGGTAGGTGTCTGAAAATTGTGTTAATAAAATGTTGCAGAAACGTTGCAATATAATGATAATAAAAATGAAAATACCGCATGCTCTATCCCGAGGGAAGACACGTGTAAAAATTAGATTAATCCGTTGGGGGGGTAGCTTTATACCCGAAGTGGGCTTATACACGAGAAACTACGATATATAAAAAGTAGTGGAAGAATACAGTAATAGAGAGCAAATCGAACAATTGATGTCATCACACTTAGTCCAAGAATGTGGCTTTACTGCAGTCGTCTGTACGTTAACTTCTTCCTGCCTATTAACAGAGCTCAGATATTCTGATTTCTGTCAAACTTGCTGACAAGCATACAAGATCGGGCGGAGATCAAACTGTAGTAGAGGGGAAGTAATAAACTAGAGGGGAAGGCTACTGTTTAATTGGGGCGCTATATCTCTCAGCAAGTGAAGTTAGCTATAGTATTGTGACGAAACATGTATAAAAAAATAGTTAATTAGGTCATGTAAAATAAAAAAATTGGTTTGCATCCTTATGTTATCAATTTTCATGGTCGGGACAGAAAAAAGTAGAAGTAGAGCATACAGTAGAACTGCAAGTGGTCTGGCTAGCGTGTGGACGGGTGGTACAGTAAACAAACCTATATTAAATGGAGTGTTTTGTAAAAAAAAAAATAAATCGGTGGCCTCTCTGATGATAGGGAGGGGATGCTAACCAATTATTTTATTTTACATGGCCTTATTTCTAAATTTTTAAAGACGGTGCAATCACATCCTCCCTCCCCCTAAATTGTATTAAAAAAAGTAATTGTTTGTATTGTACTGTTGATATATTATATTTATGTTTATTATTAAAAATATAGTACTGGTAATATTTTAAAAGTACTGTAGGAGAGTGCAATTTCCGGGCATGTTGAGATCCATATTCTTCTTTTTCTCACGCACCACCTACCACCAAATCCTGCATCCACCCCAGCGGCCTATGTGATCTGCTAAATGGATTTCTTGTGGAATGTCATTCAAACTTAATGAGCAATCCGAACAAGGAAGGGATCACATGCTTCTCCCATAATAACATGTGTCATCCCCATGTATTATCTCTATGTCATTATTATAATTAGTATGTTTTTATGTACTGTATTTCCTGTAATACAATAATTGATTATTTTCAGAAAAATTTCAAATCAGATGAAGAATCGTATTCATTAGAAATACTTTTTTTTTTTTCCTAGGTACTTTGGAATGGAAAATCCCAGACTGACTGCATCAGGCTTCATTACACAAGGAACCAAATTTGGACCATTCCACGGAATTATAAAGAAAACGACAGAGGAAGATTCTCAGGTACGAAGTATGCCGTAAATAAATCTACTCTTTTTTAATGTATGTAGACATTTATAATATCAATACAGTAGAACCTCGTTTTTACGTACCCCAGTTATACGAACCCTCTGTTTTACGTACGCCTCGTATGGACGATGACGTCATCAAAAACCCCGAAAATATTCAAAACAAACGGCAATTTTGAGAGCAACCATAAGT